TTCCTCCAGGGTCAATATGCTTCAGAAGTAATGCATTTGCGACTGCATTATTTATTTTATTATTTTATTGGCTGCCCATCTTATCACATTATTTTGCTACCAGTTTAGTTATTATAAGGGCCCTGTGAGGCCCTGAACCAAATCTGAGGCTGTGGGGTTCTTGTATTAATCCTAAAAAGACTATTGTTTCTATTAGAAAACCAGGCCAATCATTGTCCATTTAAAGAAATAATTCCAGGAATATAAAGAATATAAATATAAAGAATATGTCTTTCTTTAAAAACAAATATTTCAACTTTATGGCACTAAAAATTAAGCAAGAGTTCAAAAACGTATTTTAGTAAAAAAAAAAAAAATACAATAGTTTTGTCAACATTCACACATGAGGTAATATTGTGTCATTGGTAGCCAGCTGCTGATAGTATTTATCAGAGAAAGTAGCATCCTCAGGATTTCTGCTCAAACACTAGGAAAATCCCCAAAGAGAGCTGTTTCATTTTCTCCAGAACACTTGAGAACATACAGAAAAAGAAACATTAACAGAGAAAAATGTAACATTTTTACAGAAAGCTATTGGGACATTTTTCAAACTAAGTTTCATTATTTATAAAGCACTGCGGTTAAAGGACTGCTTTATTTGGAAAATGTAGCACTTGGTTTCTGTTCAGAAAGACCAAAAATACTTTTATATTTCCTCTGACCTATTTGTCACAAAACCAAAGCTGTCATTTTTATTCTTCAATTTTCAAAGCTCAGATTTTTAATGCAGAATAGCCAAGCTCTTGTAAATGGATTAAAACAGATTATTATGAATTCAGATATGCTAGAATTGTTATGCAAAAACAGGATTGTTATGCATAGTACATAGCAACATCATAGATATATCCAGATGTTGGCTCAGTCCAAATTTCATCTTTTTTATTGCACATCCAACCATGTCTGAATATCCATATCCATACTCACAACATAGATTCACTGAATCAACAGTACTGTTTGGTTAATAATCCAGTGAAGTGTTATTGGCAACTGTTGCACTCACATTAGCAGGCATGATATTCCCCTCTGAAAAAAAAATCTGAAAAGTAGCCAGGGGTGCAGGGGTTGCCTAAGCACCCGCCGCGGTCCGTGCAGCGCCCGGTGGGAATTAAATTGGCAACGCCCCCTTGAAGCTTTAGCAGAGTAAAGTAATCAAAAGTGATTTTTCAAGGTGAGTCTGCATGATAGTTTTATTGTTTGACAAAAATAAAAAATAAAAAGCACCACGAGAATGCTCTCGGGCAAAGGATTTCACATTTAAAAAATAAAACAAACAAACAAAAACAACAAACAAACCCTGCTTAACAGACAGAAAAACAGCCACAATGCTTCACCTCTAATTGGACTTTCTCTTTGTTCCCTTTCCTTTGATCAGCATTGCTTCTCTATGCTTCTTTCTAGCTAGTTGAGCTGATAGCATAACTTTGAGTCTGGCCTGTCTTTTGGCTACAGTTGTCTTCCTCTTCAGTTCCAGATTGGCCCTCTTTGCTTTTAAATCCAAAACAGCTGGAGGGGACCATGTTGCAGAAATGTGGAGCAGTTGCAACCATCATTTTAATGAAGCATTCTTCTATGAAAGGTGCCATAACATTTTGCTGGTTTTTTAAGGTGCCACAAACTTAGGTGCCACACATGTTAAAGTGGGAAGCTCAGGCAGTGCAATGTGCCTTATCTTTTATGGTGGTGGGTTGGGGGCTGCAACTATTATTTGACCTTTAAAGTCACAGAAGAGGAAGTAATATCAACGTTAAGTCTTGTTGGCCAAATCTTCGCTACAGGTATCCCACACAGCTACACAAAGAGCAGTGAAATCCAACTTCCTAAAGAGAAACCGCCTTCCCTCTGCCTTACAAGCCCGATCCCGGAGCCTTTTCCTTCTGACCTCGCCCTCCTTCCCAAATCTAATCATCCCCCCCACACACCGCCGACAGGACCCGGGAGGCACCGGATCCTAATTATCAATGGCGGGAAGGGAGTAAAAAAAGAAAGGGAAAAAAATTCAGAATTGTTAATCAAGGGAGCTCCGGTTCCAGTCGCCGCTCCAAGCTCTCTCTCTCTCTTTTTTTTTCCCTCCGCGCAACTTCCCGCAGGGGAATTTTCTGGTAAATGAACATTGCTTTCGCTCTCCGGAGGGAGCTGCAGCCATCTGGCTCTTTCCACACCTCTGCATCCCCGGGAAACCTCTCCCCCCTGCCCCATGCCACCCCCGTCTTCTTCCCTTCTTCCGCCTTCCCCTGCCTCGCAAGGTAGGTAGCCAAGCCGCTGTTCGGCTTGTCCGCTTGCCCAGCCAGCCCACCCACCCGCCGCAGGGATGATTTGCCACCATGGGAATCGGCTACCTCTCCAGTTCAACTCCCTCCCAACAATTCGGCCATGCATTTTATTTTTATCTTTCTTTCTTTTTTTGCATGCGTTGAGAAACACAACTTCCTTCTCCCACCCACCCAAAAGAAGATCATGACAGTGGGAGGCAGGAGTCACTCTCTCCCTTGCAAGCCCCCCAGCGCCCGGGGCTGGCGAAAAAAGCAAGAGCCGTTCTTACGATCTCTCTCTCTCCCTCCCTCCCTCTCTAACTCTCTCTCTCTCTCTTTCTCTCTTACTGGAATACAGTCAAGCCCTTTCCAGCACGCGCGATCCGCCGCCATCGCTTTGCACCTTGCAAATGCAAAAACCATGGAGGGCTCCGGGATTTTGTTTTTTTGTTTTTGCAAAGAGCAGCGTGAGCAAAGAAGAGCAGCCAGCCAGAAACCTGCTACCGGTAGTCCAAACTAACAGCGCTGCTGTTCAGAAAAGAAAAAAATCGGAATTCCGATTTTAGTTGGAAGAATATCATGTATGCATTAGTCACAAAAGTGCAACCCCTACACACACATGAATACACACAGTAACACTACTATTAACACTATTTCATTATGCTGTGCTTTTAATGATTTTTTCAGTGCTAAGTAGGCATTCTATTAATGAATAATTTATAATAGTTCTTTTAAATGTTCATGATAGGCCCTTTCATCCTTAAAACCCTTAAATTTATTTATTTACCTTGCTCATAAATATGAAATGGCTTCCTAACAAATTAATGGAGCTTTTTTCCATTATTTGGGTAACTCCTTCACATTGCAATTCAGCCTCCTTTCAGTCTGAAGTGGAAAGAGCATTTTATTTATTCCAATATAAACAATAGGGCTCAATTGCTAAAAATATTAACAGGTATACATAAGGGCTTTTAAGTGCTAATTCATCAACCTGCAAACCGGTTTTGGGTGAGCCCATACAAGAGCAATGGCACTTCAAAACCATATCTTTGGAAAAATAATGTTAGGAATTCAACATAAAAGTGAAAGAACAACATATTTTTCTTATCTGCAAAAGATGAAATGTTACTGTTTGCAATGTGTTTATTCCCAACCAAAGAATGAATTGATTCAAACCACTAGATTATGCTATTTAATTTAGGTGGTACACTGGGCAAAAGCAATCTCTTCAAATCAACTTACTAGATCTTATTACATAGTCCAACCAGGAGGTAGAAAGGGACAGGAGGGCAAGAAAGACAGAGCCTTAACTTGTATATTTGGTGATTTCAGATCACATAAGGTTCTTAATCATACCCGTGTTCCCCCCAAAATAAAAAGATGCATTAGAGCTTATTTTTCAGTTAGGTCTTATTTTGGGGGGAGATATGGTACTAAATGCGTCCATCTGGCTAGCGATCTTAACTGGGGCTTATTTTGGGGGTACAGCTTATATTACAAGCATCCTGAAAAAATTATTCTAGGGCTTATTTTCCAATTGGGTCTTATTTTCAGGGAAACATGCTATCTCATGGATTCGTAATCTAATTTAAAAAACTCTCAGCAGCAACAACATATCCATTCTTCTGGCAGAAGTAATCATTTTCTTCCCTGGCAGTCTACTATTTAACATAAAAGAGTCAGAAAGAGAAAGAGAGAGAGGGGGGCGGAAATGTGTAAAAAAGAAAAGAAAAGGCAATTGGCCAAGAAAGCAACTGAGAACCCTGTCCCCATATGATTCCCGCTCTTCTAATTTCAGCTTCATGTAGCTTTAGTCTATGGCCTCCCAAAAGTTAAAGAGAAAATTAGGCCATAACAGAAGAAAAGAGTTTGACCTCCCATGCTTAAGTAATTCTGCCATGAATCCTGTCTTTGTGCTTCTAGTTTCATGGGCTAAAGGGATGCTTGCAGCTTTTACATTAATAATTAGGAGGAAGCCAAAATCTCAAATAAAATCTTTATTGTGGTCACTGACCAGCATTGACAGAACCAGCAAACTTTCTCCCATCATTACTGGAAAGGAGAGACAAAAACAGACATCCTTTCATAATTCCTTGGGAGATGCTACTTGAGCAGCCTGGCTCATGCGTAATCAATCAGACTGTGGCAACCAACCTATTTCCAACCTATCTGAATCACTGTTCTAATTTATGAAGAGTTAGAACTGGGTAAAATCAAACAGAAAATTCCCTACCTGACCCAGCAAAAATTTTATACTGATCTACTGGTGAACACATTATTTTTCATAATGAATCTGATGAAGACATATGATTGGGAATTGCCCTGTCTTTATTTATATGGAGAGTAGATGTTTGACATATTATGTGAGCAAGAAACAATGCGAATGTATATATTCGGGTACAATCAAAATTTCTTAGAGATGTCTGTTTTAAAGAAACAGACATGCTTCTCTTTCCTGTTGGTTTCCACCAAGCAAGGGCTTTTTAAATTTCATGTAAGGCTAGAAATATGTCAGAGACAGAAAACCCATCACTAAATGTTTCATTATTCCATAATTCCTTAGCATAATCCAAATTCCTTCAGAGCACACTGGAGGGGATTTAATCACCATGATGCCATCCATATTCATGTTATCTGGACATTGTCCAATACATTTCTTGTTTTTCTTCTGTAACAAAATGGAGAAACCACAAACTTTTGAAAGTTACTTACTCCACAGTACTCATCATTGCTGAAGATCTGGGGAGGCAATGGGTTGCCTTGTGCAGGCAGTTTGTCTTGAGGAATATTTTTATACATCCACCGCCTTTGCTCCTCTGACATGGTGATATCCACTTGTTCAAAGTCAATCTTGTTGGCTTCCAGAAATCGCACAATGTCTTGTTGCCTCTTCTTTATCTGGAAAAAAGGCAGAACTAAGACATGGTCACTTGTTGCCCAGGCCAACTGTGCAAGTAAATCATGGCAAAGTTTCTATTGTATGCAAACCAATCTATAATGGGTTTTCAGTCAGCAATAATGTAGATATTGTCTTTTCTTGATCAGAAAATTTTTAATTTACCCATCTGAACAAGTTCCATCATCTTCACCAACCATTCCTCCATTGTGCATAGTACAAAACTTTTGTATCTTTTTGCATACAATAATCTCACTGAAGTTATTATGCACAGAAATGAAATTTTTTGCAACTGTCCATACATTTAAAAAAGAAAATCCTCTGGTCTCAATTGTATATTAATAAACCTAATAGACACTGAAGCCATTTCTCCAGCACATAATTTTCTTAGTGGGACTAAATAGATAGTGGGACTATCCAGTGGACTAAACAACAACGCCTATTATGAAAGCTTTACTAAGGACCTCCAAAAGAAGGGGGAGGGGTTCAGTAGCACTTTTGCTATAGCAACCGCTTCAATATGAACATCTCAGGAGAGGGTGTTGATTTCCCAGGGCAGATGTTCAAAGGTACTACAGAGGCTAGTTGGGAAGATGTATTACAATATGCTCTACAGTTTGTTTTTAAAAAGCAACTGATGAGACTAATTTGCTAACTGAAGGACAGTGTGTGCAGCTGACACACATAATCCAGAGAAATTGTTCATCTTTGGAACAAGGATCTCACCAAAAAGCTCAATGTCTGGAGCAAGGGTCTCCAACCTTGGCAAATTTAAGACTTGTGGACTTCAACTCCCAGAATTCCTAAGTTAACATGACTGAAGGGGGAATTCTGGGAGTTGAAGTCCACAAGTCTTAAAGCTATCAAGGTTGAAGACCCCGGTCTGGAGGACATAACTCAATTCTAGGTGGTCAAACTGATCGCACCATTCCTGCTTCTTCAGGAAGAGGAAGGAGGATCTTCTGTGGCTATTTTAACCCTTCATACTACTTTAGCTTCCTTGCCCTTGGCTTGACAAAAAGCACTTTTCTTTTTACAATTCATAAAGAATATGCTTTCAGATGACTGACAGGAAGGAACAATGTTGTTGAAGTGAACAACATCAGTTCCAGTCAACAAGAGTTAGGAACAATGAAGTCTAATAACATCTGGAAGGCCACATTTCATTGGCTCTGCTCCCCCTTCCACTGAAATGGCTAGTAAGACACAAAGTGATGATTAAGAGATTCATGAAAAACAATTTAAAAATATGCCGTATAGACTCATGGATAAGCCGAAAATTTTAGGTTCCAAAAATAACTCTGAAAGATTAAGTTTGACTTATCTGTGACTTTATAGGGTACACCTTCAATCCAAAGAGCTTTACATGCAAATTAAGTAAATATGCTAAAGTAGCACATTTTATTAATTTCTGAGTAAACAAAGCAAAAAATAAATAAACACAAGACTCCTTATTTATGTAAAGAAACATATTATTTTTTCATTACTAGCAACTAATTATTGGTAAACATTAGTTTGTAATGCTACAGGTGTTTAGATCCAGCTCAACTGTCTCAAAAATACAGTAAAGAAGAAAATGCCTTTCTCAGTTCTCAGTATTTTATCAGACTGTATCCAGAATGTGTTGTTTGATTATTTCAAATTATTCATTTTATTAAACATTCTACTTTTTCAAGATAACATATTATAGCAAAACAAATGGGTTTTTTTCATGACTAACTTTGCGATTCTACCCAATGAACTTTGTGCAATCCAGAAAATTTGCAGAGAGGAAAACTTTTTGTTGTATGGGTTTCATTTCATTGTACTAACAAGTGAAAAAAAAAGAGATCATATTATTTTACACATATTCCAAAATTGTCGGAATAATGGGAGGTGGAATCCTGCATATGGTTTCCCCTATACTAGGACAAAACAATCCTTCAAAACAGATGCTTTAGAAAAGATTGGAATGCATACAAAGCACATCATATTGAACCAATCAAACCATCGTATCTTTTCAGTGAGAACAAATAACCAGTGGAACAGCTTGCCTTCAGATGTTGTGGGTGCTTCATCACTGGACAGCCACCTGTCTGAAATGGTATAGGGCCGTGACGGCAAACCTATGGCACACATGCCACAAGTGGCATGCACAGCCATTTGTGCTGGCATGCGAGCTGCAGGCAAACTTACCTCACTGCGCATGCATGCGCCTCACAGCTAATTTTTTTTGGTTGGTTTGAGGCCTTTTTCGGCCTCCCAGAGGCTTAGAAAAAGCCTCTGCAAGGCTTTTCAGGATGAATTATAGGCCCGTTTCATCACTTCCTGTAATACCAGAAGTGACAAAACGGGCCTATAATTTGGCCTGAAAAGCCTTGCAGAGGCTTTTTCCAAGGTTCTGGGAAGCCGAAAAAGGCCTCAAACCAGCTGAAAAACCAGCTGTGAGGCGCAGAGCAGATAAGAGGGTGGAGTGGGGGGAATTGCGCATGCATGCGCAGGAGGTGTGAGGAGGGGGGCACACATTGCATTCTGGGTGCTGGCACGTGAGTGCGTGTGTACTGGCAATTTTTGGCACAGGAGCCCAAAAAGGTTAGCTACCACTGGTATAGGGTGTCTTGAGCAGGGGATTGGACTAGAAGACTTCCAAAGTCCCTTCCAACTCTATTCTGATTGATTGACTGCTCTTTTGGCCCAGCTGTTCAATTAATCCTGACTATTTCCACAGGCACATACATTCACAGGGACTTTGTTTACTGTATCCCAATACAAAGCAAAATAGCTATAAATGCACATGGAGGCAGAGACTGCCAGGAGCAACCTCTGAAAAACCACCCAAGGCTGAAAGGAGGAACAGCTGCTTTAAGTGCTTAAAAAGAAGGGCACCCTCTAATGTTCTAAATCATCCTTTCAAATAATTTGCAGGTCTCTGTAGATTAATGGTGCTGAGAAAACTGGGGGATGCAAAAGAACTAAAAAGAAAAGGTGGTCATTAATCTGTCAAAACCAGGTGATGGTGCACTTACCACAAGGCAACATCACTGCACTGTATATTTCACAAAACCATTCTAAATGCTAGCAGTTTATGGACAGTTTAGGAATACTTTGTTGATGACAAGGTAACAAGTTGTAACCTGATTGACAAACAGTTCTGGGGATATTTAATAGAGGGTTAGAGAACTGAATACACAAAAGAAGGCAGTATCCAGACCAAATAGTACATATTCTAACTCAGGGGTCTTCAAACTTGACAGCTTTTTAGACTTGTGGACTTCAACTCCCAGAATTCTTTCTCCAGTCATGTTAGCTCAAGAATTCTGGGAGTTGAACTCCACAAGTCTTAAACTTGCCAAGTTTGAAGACCCTTGTTCTAACCACATGTAGCACTATGCCAACATAGTTTGTTTTAATTATTATTTTTTCCATAAGTCACAATGACTGAGGTTATATATAAGATACAACCCTAAATCATGATTTGTAAATCACACTATAAAATTTGCAAAATGTGTGAAGCTGGAACTAAAGAAATCACATTTTGCTGTTCAGTATTCTATGAATCTAGAAATTAAGCTGAATAAGGCAGCCAAGCACCTGAGACTTGCAAACTTAGCTAGCCTGTTTGCACAAATTTTATTTTTATATATGCTTAACGGTATAAATTTTTTACCTTAAAACCCTCAGTTCAAGATTTCTGATATGTAAGATTGAAAGACGGTATTTACTTTTGCTTTAAAACTGCACATCTGACTGCATGCTCTATAGATTAATGGACTGCATGCACAGCATACTTTAGTAAAATTTATGGAGCTACTGAAAACAACTATTTTCTGTTGGCATCTTGCATTCTTCTTTAAAAATAATTAGCTCAGCAAACGGTAGAAGGCACAGAACAGAATTTCTGCATGCTGCTCTTTTTTTAAAAAAATAGCTAAATCTGGAGCGAGATCAGCAGATGGATGACAAGAGTTGGATAAACAAACACCAATATTATTTAAAATGACTCAAAACGTAAATCAGCCAGTCAGGGATTGAGAAAATAAGACCAAAAACATGACAGCTGTTGCTCAACAGAGATGTCTTGAATACTGGCTTAGAATTTTGAAATATTCTTTGATTTAAGCCAAGCGTATCTGAATTACAGGAAAAGGATTAAGAATGCTTTTGTGGAACAGCATATTTATGCTGTGTGATCAGAAACCAGGAAAAAATATTCAAAATATATAGTTTTCTATACTGAATATTTTGTAAACCACACAATCTGATCAAATCTCTGTATCATATTTCAACAAACTGAGAGCCAGTCTAGTATTAGTTAAGATGCTGGGTTGGGAACCAAGAGATTGAATTCTATGCCTCTATTAGGCATAAAAGCCAGCTAGGTGACTGACTGACAGACTCTCTCTTTCAGCCCAACCCACCTCAGAGAGTTGTTGTTGCGGGGGAAATAGGAGGTAGGATTATTAGGTAGGTTTTCTAGGGTCCTTAAAAATATTTCTCTTCTAAACATATATATGACCCGATTGTTTCTGATGCTACAAATTGTACTATATCTGTTCCCATCTTCTCAATGAATGGCAGTATGTAATGAAATCATCTACATATAGAGAAAAACCTTAAGTGATTAGAAACCAGAGTAAAGTCTTCACACAAGATGTACCTATATATCAGTGATCCCCAACCTTTCTTATGCCGCGGCCCGGTATCCCCAACCTTTTTTATGGCGCGGCCCGGTACCGGCATTAGCTGGGCGCCGCCATCTTTTTTTGATGAAAAAGTGCTTCCGGTGAGCTTTTCCGGGTAGAAAGCTCACCGGAAGCACTTTTTCATCAAAAAAAGATGGCGATGCCAGCGCTTCCGGTGAGCTTTTTCGG